AAACGGTGAGCTCATTCCCCTTAAAGCACCAGTCAACTCACACGGGATCGTTTTGCATCACTCTCTCCATAGTTTCAGTTATCATGCATCTTAGGGTAACGTCGTGCACCTTGTCATCCCATCCTGACGAAACAGAAGTCACACGTTGCTTTATGGCTGCTGCTGCCACTCTGAGCCAACCGCATACGGGAAAATGGCCTACCAGTTTCCCACACATGGAGAAGGAACTTCGATGAGTGATCACTTCCAAGATGTCACTACCTCGTCTCCAGGGAAGTTTTTCTCTATCACTACTGACGTGTAGTCCAAGTACATTCGTTCCACCTTGCAGCGGCTCTGGGGCCTTGCACACCAAGCCAAAGCACTCTAGATGTTCCTTAACCCTCGTTGAAGAGGCCACGTTTTCATTGATGTAGACATAATCAATGTAGGATGACGTTTGCCCTTCAAATTTCCTCATCCTGCGACATGACCGCATACATCATTGCTAACATGATTTTTGGGGCCACATTAAGACCAAATCCCAATCGAGTGAGGCAATATCTCCATCCTTTTACCATGACAGGCTGAAAGGGCCAGAGTGATCAGTGGACTCAGACTTGGAGGTAGGCCCTTCTTAAATCAAGGGTGGCCACATTGCTCCCTTGCCGTTGCCATTCCCGCAATTTCTGGGCACAAACGTCCACATTGGCCGTATATGCATCTACAAAGTTATTCAATTCCCTGTAGTCCATGACCGGTCCCACTTTTCCCTTATTCTCTTGCACTATCGCCATCAATGGAATCAGTCCCCGAGGCAACCCTAGCTCCTCCTCGGGGTACAGCTGCAATTCATTTTCGTATTCACTCCTGATATGCTCTGGAACCGGGTACCCTGCTATTTTATTTTTCAGTGGCACGGGCATTCGGCCACCTACTCACTTCCACGTTGCAGTTCATATGCGCCTGCGCTGGTTGAAAGTTGCACTGAAGTCAGGTTTGTTAATCCTCAAAGCAGCACAGATGGGCGGATCAGAAAACTTGACTTTGCCCGCCTCTGTGATGCATACGCCGCCCAGCTCCTTAACAATGTCCATCCCAAGGAGCAGATCAAAACCTAATAACACGCTGTCCACAACCAACACACTGACTGTGACGGGGTTACCATTGTTCATACTGAGTTTGATGTTTCCAACTCCCCAGCTTCTGAGAGCCTTTCCATCGGCCATTAGTATGTCCATCTTTTGTCTGCTCCACTGTCCACAAATCGAACCATTCGTGAGTGACCGAGAGCAGCCCGAATCTACTAAAGCGGTACACGTTATTCCATTGATGCACACCTTAATCACAGGAAGCGCCTCTTTTTCATTGATCATGATAGCACGGGCTCTGGTCAACAATTGATTGAGCATCATGTCTTTCATTCTGGATGATGCGTGGAGTATCTGCTTAACATGACTAGGCAATCCAAACACAAAGGTACAGGTCATCCATTCTTCAAGAAGCGGTGCGATCGGTACGGCGAGCTTCTTTAATTCCGCCACATATACGTCTACTGTCCCGCCAAGTCGCAGACGCCACACCTGGAATTGGTCATAGGCCATGAACTGGTCAGTTCCAAACACGGTTAGTAGAGCGCGCTTTATTTGCTCAATGTCACTTTTCTGTTCTTGTGCGATCGGTACGGCGAGCTTTTTTAATTCCGCCACATATACGTCTACTGTCTCGCCAAGTCGCAGACGCCACACCTGGAATTGGTCATAGGCCATGAACTGGTCAGTTCCAAACACGGTTAGTAGAGCGCGCTTTATTTGCTCAATGTCACTTTTCTGTTCTTTGCTCAGCTGCCTATACACAGCAAGGGCGCCACCTTTCAAGCGCAGTAGAAGAATCCGTTCAATCTTCGTGATCTCGCATAATTCGCAGACCAGTTCCACATTTTCAATCTATTCAACCACAGACTGTCCACTCATATCACCACTTGATTTGGTGATCAGGTTCATGTCGAACAGTCTTTCTGCCATCTTGCTAGAGACAAAGTAAATGCCGAAATAGATTATGTTAAAATGTGTCACGAAACAAAATAAAAAGTTTTGTCTCTCTCCTGCTGTCGTAGTGATGGGCACAGTCTCTACTTCTGAGACAAAAACTGCCCTCCTTCTCATTCCAGCCCTTTACATAGAGCTTGGTAACTCACCTATGCAAAACACCAACAAGCCAGCTACCAATCACAGTTCCCACACCTTCCCACCTCCACTCGCTTTGGGGGTGTCAAGTTAACTGACCAACTCATTACAGCCTTCTACTTCTTTTTGGCAAAATACTAGAGGTTCTAATCAACTCTGAATTGGTTAAACATCTCATCTCAGAGAATCTTCTTTCAGATAAGCAATATGGCTTTCACTTCTTTAGGTCAACTGTTGATGTATTAAGTTATTGATGAAAGTCTACAAAGTTTTAAATAAGAATGGTGAAGCTTGGGCTGTTGCTTTGAATATTTCAAAAACATTTGGTAAACATGCTGGATCTTCTTCACAAGTTGAAAGGTTATGGTATTTCTGGACAAATTTTTGAACTTATTCGATCTTTCTTATCAGACTGTGAAAGTTGAATGGCCACTCTTCTTGATCTTTTTGTATTAATGCAGATGTCCCTCCAGGGCTCTATCCTTGGACCTATGTTATTCTTAATTCTTATCAACAACCTTCCAGATGTCATCTGTTCTCAATTCAGTTGTATTATCAGCATAGATACTATTTACTCTTGTCTTAATGGAAAGTCTGATCAGTTTGATAAAGTCAAATTAGCAACTGATCTCGAAAATGACCTTCATTCCTTTGTTAAGTTGGGGAATGGCTTGTTAATTCCAAAACAAAACTGCTCTCTTTTAATCATCTGGAAGAACTTTTTTTGCCTTCCATCAGCTGATGCTAACCTTCAGAAGAGTAACTAGTTATGCCTTATCAGGCTAACATTTTCTGCTGACATGAAATGGCAAGATTATATTGAATCAATTACTAGGTCTACTACTAGGAAAGTTGGTTCCATGTGTTTTGCTTGACAGTTTTTCTTGCCAGAATCTATCTTGCACATTTATAAGTCTACCATTCGGCCATACATTGAATATTGCTGCTATATCTGGTCTAGTGCTTCTTTATTTAGAGTCTGTAATATTATTGGTCCTGACTTGGCATCTCAGTTTCAGTCACTTTCCCACAACTATAATATAGCTTCCCTATGTATTTTCTATAAATATTTTCATGGTAATTGTTCTAATGAGCTTTCCTCTTTGGTAGCTAGACTGAATTTATGCATGCTACTCATCACTTTGCAGTTGAAATGGCTAGATGTAACTGTAAGTTCTATGCTAACACTTTCTTTTCTCATGCTTCTCACTTCTGGAACTCTCTTTCAGCTTCTTGCTTTCCAGTCAACTTTGCTTTTAAATTTTTGACGGTCAATGTCAATTGCTATCTTCTGTTTTTTTAATTTCTGTTTTTTTATTGTTATCTCTCCTTAATAAGTTTTTTTTGTCTCATATTCTCTCTCACTCAGTAACCCGTTGGGTCTGAGTGACTTTATTGCCTTGCTTAGGCTGAAATGACTAACAAAAAAATACACTTCACAATATACAACCAAACAGCCCAATATTTTACTTTTTTTAATCCCTTCTTGATCATCACTCTCTTGTTTGTTAATTAACAAATCCTTCATCTTTATTTGGTGATAACTTCAGTAGACATATTAATGGATTGAATACAATAGGCACAACCTTGTGATTACTATTAGGTTTATAAAAGTATGGTAAAGTTATAAAAGTTGGAAACTAAAGGCCCATAAGTAGCTTCCTTGCTTGTACATAGCATTCTTGCTTCTAAATAATGTCAATAAATAACTCTGTCAAAAATTGGCTTGTATTGAGAAAATTATAAATCAGGTGCACATTGAGTGCCTAACTGAAAAAGTAATGTTTCAGTAGTAAGAGTGCAACTACATACCAAGAAACTGAAAATATGAGATCCAGAGATGAACTACCTATTGAGGCTTTATTATCATTCAAAATGAATACCACATGGTTTAAAGTTAAAATTTATTTACAGAAATATTATTTATAAATTCAGAATGTACAAAAATTGAGTATTCTATTGAGAAACTCTTAAACTAAAAAGGAAATTGGAAATTGTACATTAGTTTAAAAAACAAAAAAAAAGAAAGTTGAACAATATATATTTTTCCTGAGACGCATTCAATATATTTAGCTTACTTCTCGCAAGTCTTCACATTATATTGCTACAACAAGACAGACTCAATTAAGTCATCTAGTATAATCAATCCTTAAAAATAATATTATAATTGGATGTGATCATATTCTTTTATTTATTCTCAGGTTCATTTAAATTTTATTGTTGGGAACAAGATTTCTGTAAGAAAAATATGAAGATTATAAGTTAAGAAATTGAAATAACCTGTAATTATTGGAAAATACAGTTTTTTCTTTCCAAAAATAATGTTCATTTTTAAATAATTTATTTTAAACCTAAATTCTTTTCTACCCTTAATTTTATTATAAGATTTCACTTTGAAAAAATTTTCTTTGCATCAATTTTCAAAATTTTGTCAAGAAAACTGCTACAAAGTTTTACTTCTATTTTATCAAAATAAATGTTGAAAGAAAGCTTTACTTTCTTTTATGTTTTTTAATTTGTAGTATTTTTGTGATAATATCTTATATAAAACATTAAGTTTTTTTTAGACTTGTATAAAATTATTTCATCTGTAATTTAAGTTTCATGGACAAAATTTTGTGTAGGCAAATTTTATATTAAAAATGAGTCTTTGTAATGCCAATGATGGACTGTTCTAAGATATTTACAAAGCCAAGAGGTGAAAAGACCAACTCCATGAAAGAACAGAGTATATAAATAGAAAAAATATCTTTAAAATACCATCATGTTTTTTGTTTTTTTTATAGCTTGGGTAAATAGTATATAATATTTGCATTTGTTTCTATATAATTTTAGATAAATGGTCCAGTTAATGATGAAATCAAAGTTTGGGAACGCCCATGGACAATCCAAGAGATCAAAGCAGCAGCAGGAAACTGGTCATTGGCTGGAGATGCTGGAGTAAGTACAGGCAAAAAGTTTTTATCATGTAGCATTGCTTAATACCATAGCAAAAATTGTTAGGTATTTAAATATACTGTATATACATACTCATGTATCCTGCAACTTTTGAAGAACCTAATTTTGAAGCTAACTTGACTACAGTAAATGGATATATAGTTTGGTCAACAAGCGTAGCCAACGCCAACTGTACATACACTAATTTTATATCTTGTTTATGATGCTTCAAATTTGCTTCAAAATTAGGTCTTTAAAAAAATTTCATGATACACAAGTATATGCGGTAAGCAGTTAAATCTTTTAATAAACTAAGAAATTTTCAAGGATGTCATTAATTTACATAAACAAAAGAGTAACGTGAACCCTTAAATAAGGTTTTTGCATTCACCCAACTTGAAGTCTTTATTATTTCTCACTCACTCTGTGTACAAGATATTTTGATTTGGATTTTAATATGAGTATGATAACAGATCAGTCATGATTCATCTAGCCTGTGATAATGAAGTTATGCTTTCACAGTTCTGAAGATGCACTGTTATTTCACTGAACAACATGAATAATGGCATTTGGTATTGTGTGACAGTCATATACAGTCTAGTCAGGCTTTATGGTTGTTTAACATATTAATGTTATATTGCATTTACTGTCAACCAATATCTATTTGCTGTATTGTGGAAAAAGAGTAAAAGACAATGACAGTCATTCTCCCAGCTGCAAGCTTTATATCTACTACCATATGACTTGTTACACTTTAACTACAGGTGAAAACTGAATTCCTCTCCTGGGTCACCATTCTCCTTTTTTATAACAAAGTAGGCTATCAATATTCAAATAGATACCTCAGAAAAAGATTTTTTTTTATTTTGGTTGCTAAACTTGCCTACTTGATGCCTGGTTTCCAGTTGCTCTGTTACATTTATATTTACCATTTCCAATTCACTCTGTCCTGATCTCATAATCACAGAGTAGAGCTAGTCTTTTCCTTTGAAAATGGCTCGCCTCTACCTTTCTTCAGGTGAACAGTCTTCTAAGGAGTCATCAGTCACACTTGAGTCAGGCTCTAAATCATTTGCATTTATATAGACTTGATTCAAGCTCAATCACTCTCTCACTTCCCACTGCTGTACTCACTTGCCATTGTGCCCATCCTCAAAATAGAATGAAGATCCTGAGTACAAACAGTTCATCCAAGTCACTCCTTCAATTCCAAATTTGTATATATGTAGGGCCTTTACTCACACAAGATCTCCCACCTTGTATGTTCCATGCTTATTCACAACCCAGGTAGAGAAACAGCATTGACACACTTTATCTGAACTTGATACGTGCATATGATGTTGGTAAACACAGCTGAGGTTGAAACATTGTTCTTTAGTGTTGTTGTACCAGTACACAGCTTCTACAATTTTCTGTCTGCAATTTTTTTGGCACTTCTGTGGCATTTTTCAACTATGTAATTTCTACTGATATATGTGCACAGCAAAATCAAAGTTTGATTCTCCACTCATCCATAAACATCTTAATAATTATACTGAAAAATGCATTATCATTGTTGGAAAGCCTCAGGCTTCAGGCCTTATTTGTAAACCAAGGACTCCAGTTGGTGAATAACACTTGTATAGTCTTCTTAAAGTAATAGTCATCAAGTTGAAAAGTGAGTTAGACTGCAATTTTTGAGAGTCAGGTAATGTTTACTACCATAATGATTGATAGCCATTCCTAATCTACTCTAGATGTCACTCACATCCAGTCTTCTTCTTTGCCACAACATTGGTGCTGGGTATATGAACTGACATGTTTAACATTCACCACTATTTCAATAACTACTTCTGACACTGTACAAAATCTGCTTCACACCAGAATGCCTGATTTGTTGATGAATAGTCATTATTTGGGATCTACACTGGCTGTATCAGTTCTTTATCACATCAAACCATCTCTGTTTTACCCTGGTTAGATTGTTAGCTCAGTTTTGGTTAGACTTGACTAGTGTCAACCTACAGAGAGACATCAGTCTCTGACTTATTTCCTAAGTATGCTGAACTGTCATCTGAGCATATGTCTTGCAACCATGGTGTGTAATACTTGGTTTCCTGGTCAGTGTTAGCAACTCACAAATGCATACATGCTGAATCAGTAATCAGGTGCAGCACCTTCACCTGCCATTTGAGTACCAAGTTGATGGCTTTCAGTGTTGAGCATTGTCCACTGGATGCAGTCATACATCCTCAATGATGAATGTTGACTTGAGTCCATTATATACCAATCACTTCATGCTGTATCATTCACTTCATCATCCTAGCTGAATGTAACCAGATTCACTCTTTGTTTTATGAACCGGCTGCATAAGGGCAAATACTTTATAAGTTTCTCAAGAAAAGATACTTTGGCAAATGATGTCCAGCATTTCCTCACTTTTATTGAGTTTTGTATTCCCCACAAACTAACAAAGTTTGAGGGTCATATTCCATTTGCTCCACTTGCTTGCACATTAGTCAAAAATTTTTCTAAATGCACTTTTTACTTGCATTTATGATGAAAATGTTGTCAATATCGGCCAATGTCTTATTCTGGATGGATTTATTCTGCAACATCACAGTACTAGCATTTAATCTCATTATTAACTCACACTTTAATGCCAACAATTATTTATTTAGCAAGTTTCTTGTCTCAGTTTCTGTATTTTATTTAACTATTTTTTTCTGTTCTCCATTTAATTTATATGAAATAGAAAGAAAAAAAAAACAAATAGTAGAAAAAATGAGTTAATTCCATTAAATTTTTGTCTTCACTGTGTGGGGAAAGTTCTTTTTTTTTGATATTTTATCTATGACTGGCTAAGCTTAGTCTAGTATTTGAATTTTATCACATTTTAATATACAACATTTTTTTTGTAGTTACTACTTCATTTGCAAGATTTTTCCCAACGTATTCTATCTAAAACTCACGATATTGAGAAGCAAGTGAACAATTTGGTCCATGAAACAACAGTAAGTATAAAGCAGTTTATTAAAATATTTCATCATTTTGGAATGTTATCATTGCTCTGAAATGAACAAAATCTTTAATACCCTTTATAGACAATTTCATTTTTTTAATATGAAATTTAAGTAGCATTGAATAAAGACAGTGTATCTATAAAATCTACAAAATATTACCTTTATCAATTTTTTATTTAATTGTAAAGAAAAGTAATAGAAGAAAGAAAAAGTCAAAATTCCATTATCAGTTTAGTAAATTTTTCTTAAGGAAAAAATAACTGAATGTAAAAAAAGTAATAATAAAAGCAAACTTCAGCATGCAAAATATGTAGATACTGTCATGTAGTACTGAAACTTATTCCTACATAAACAACATACTCCTTGGAGAAGCTTGTACAATATATAAGTAACTACACATTATTTTATACCAGATCTACTTTTTGAATTTCTTTAAACTTTTGCTTCCTCCTTAAATGCAGTTGATAGCTCTGTCAATCATCTACTTGGCTAATCATCATATGAATTTAAAATGTCAGCTTTGGTCAACTTTTTAAATCATTTTAAATTTTATTAGACCAAGTTAAATTCTCAAGTCAATACTTATTTAATATTATATTTACATTATACAATATTGGTTTCAACTATGGCCTCCAGATGACTGCAGAACCTCCTGCAACTGTTGTAGATGGTCTCCTTGTTTAAGTTTGTGAATGCTGCCATAATCTTTGCCTTCAGTTTATCTTTGGTATTACAAGGAGTTTTGTTGTTATGTTGACATAGAGGACTCACTCTTATTTAACACATTATTTCAGAGCCTCCAGTAGTCACAAGAACCAAACTTGTTAGAGGCTATACTGTACCTCATTCTGTCACTGAACAAAGACTTGGCCTCATTGAAGACATGTTTACAATTATTATGAGCAGACACAAAGAGGCATTTGTTGTGATAAGTACTATCATGTTGGGACAGCCAGAAAAAGTAATTCCTGTGGACTATAGCAGCTGAACAGACAGGTGTGAACAAAGAAGATTGTGATTTCACTTGGCATTTCTTAGAAGGCAAAAAATACTTTTTCTCACCAGTTTTTACCGAAGATGAAACCTCAGTGGTACAATTCTCAATAGGAAGATTTAAAATTTCACTCCAAATTATATTAATGAGTTTATACTGCAGTGATAGAAAAATAAATAAAAGTAAACAAATAACAAATTTCACTATCTCTAAAAATAGATGGATATTCAGAATTGCTATGTCATTAAGCCTATTTCAGCCAACCAATCAGAAACTGTTCTTACCAGGATACACACGTCATAGAACCAAGATGTAAGTGAAGTGGCACCTTTGAAGCAGATCTCTAGATATGTATATAATGCAATGAAAAATCAACTTAAATCAAAATCAATGAATTAATTTTATCCATTCTCCAATGATGTGGTCATTGTAATATACCCAGAGCCAAAATACCAACCAATGGCAACCTTAGACATCCACGCCATCCTGCATTGACACTATGCATACATACTTTCTTTTACCCACGTTATTAAGTAGGTGGCTGCTACATTTGAATATATTACATACATATATATTTACATTCTCGGGACTCTCTCTCTCTCTTATGCATTAGGACATTTACATTTGAACTATTGAGCTTCCAATAATTTTATTTTCATTCATTTTATTCTTCTGTGTGTGTGTGTGTGTGTGTGTGTGTGTGTATATATATACACACATACACTGTGCATTTTCTTACACATAAAATCACTAGATATATGTTGGGAACGAACATTTTCATAAGATAACCTCCACAATAATACCTAATTTATTTTAAATATTGCAATATAATGGGATACCTTTTATTTTTACTTTCCAGTCATTATGTAAATACCTTTTATACACAAAAAATGAAAAGGTTCTTACTTTTTAATAACACGCACACACACACATATATATATATATATATATATATATATATATATATATATATATATATATATATATATATATATATATAAAAAACATTGGTTTTTTACTTGGCCAAGTCAAGCACAAGCCCATAAAATGCAACTATCATTTTATTTGTCATTTACTGTTGTACTATATATTTCATTGTATATTGTAAATTATAATTTTCAAACCAAAGTTTCACTGATATCATTAATCTCTTGGCTTACAGTTTATGACAATTTTTATTTGTTATTAGAGAAAATATTTATTCACAAATCACCAATCTAGATTCATGATGAAGTAACCCCCCCCAAAAAAAAACAATAAAATTAGAAATAGGATTTATATATTGATTATAAGTCTTTTTGCTGGTGATATCTCAGTAGACACTTTTTCTATGAAAAATTTATTTTTAAGAATTTTCTTTCATTTGTTGATAGAGCTTGCTGAAAAACAACATGCATATTTTGTAAGACAGTTGGCAGATTTATGACATGTTTTTAAAATATGTACATTTCACTTAATTTTTTTTCTGTATCCATAAAAATTAATGTATCTATTTTTTTTTCTAACTTCTTCACTGCATTGCGAAATTCTTTGAATTTAAATACAGATATTTTTTTCTTAAATATTGTAAAGAACCATTATATAGTGTTTTGGTATGTAATTAAATCACTATTTAATTTGTTACTTTTCAAAAAATGTAACTTTGTACACATATTACTTTTACAAAGAGGTACTGAAATGTTCTTGGCCCAACCACTTTCCAAAATTTGTTTCAATGACCAAACATCTTTTCTTAAATGCTAAAAAAGCTATATGCCAACTGCTGAGAGAATACATGGAATAGCTTATACATTTCATGCCTCAAAATCATTCTTGCCAGTTAGGCTAAGAGTTGCTACTATAGTATGTGGTCTACATCATTTATTTATATAGTATGCTGTCTACCATGCTATGAATTATACTGTGACCTCACCTTTCATGTGTCCTGTCTACATAAAAGGAAAGAAATGGACCTCCCATATCAAAATCTCCCTAGGTTTGAAACTGTTAACATCAGCTGGATAATCTCCTTCAGATTAAAATGTTGCTGAAAGATTTTTATAGATGTGTCATCTTGACCAAGGAAACAGCAGGCGCATTTTATGAGAGAACAATCTGCTAGATACGCTATAGTGTTACATAGCACGGTAGACCACATACTATAGTAGTAAATGAGGTAGACTACATGCTATAGTGTTTGATACTGTGGTAGACCACATACTATGGTAGCACTGGCTAAGAACTTTTCAGCACCTTTCTCATGAAGTATCATCCTTTTAAGGATGTTACTTTTAATGTTCAAAAACTCTCATTTAAAAGTGTAATAATTATTTAGAATTATAACTATTTTTTTTATAAAATTGCAAAAACTCTCCTTTGGTGTTGAGTTCAAAATTTACGTCTTTACTCTTATTTGATTTTTCATATTTTTCTACAGATGACTGGTGTTCGTGTGAACAATGTTTTTAATGACTTCATTATGTTGGCCAATTCCCAATTTGTGGAAAATGTAAAGTATTCAGATTTTTTTTTTTTTTTTTTTTTTCTGCTATGCATCTCATTTGAATCTATTTAGATATGAAGTAGAAATAGTTTTTTTTTTAATGTTCTTTTGTTTTTTTCTTGTAGAAAATTAGATAACAATTGTTTTTAATAGAATTGATAAATCATGAGTTTTGTGTGAAGGTCTTTTATTACTTTTCTCTTTCTAAATACTTGCCTATTGAAATAAATAATTAGATTTTATGTTTTACTACCAAATATTGAAATGAAAAATCTGTTAGTTTACATCAAAGTTTTCATAAAATTTAACAGAGCTTTTATTATGTTATTTAGAATTTAGAATTGCTTTATGATATTTATCTGAGATTAACTTGTTTATTCCTATTTCTTTCATAATTTTTTTCTTTCAAATTTATTCTTGGTTATTCTTTTATAGCGTGTCTATGATGAAGACATTAGTCAGAAAGAAAATCTGCCTCAAGAGAAGAAGTATAAAGTAAGAACAAAAGACAGCATTTCTATTTTCCTAACTATAGAATACTATTTTTAAATTGTTCTTTTTCCATTTAATATCAAATGTTTCTTAAGATCTAGCAAAAAAAGTTGCTTTATCATAAAATGGGTGATTTAAATGAAAATTGGGTCATAAAAAAAATAGATTTCCACTTGAATCTATCCCCGCTAACAGTTAACATGGAAACCAGAACAACGCTTTACTCAGGACTCCGTTTCCTGCACACTGTAAACAACAGTACTATCACTCTTTCTCTGGAACACAGGTATAACCTTCACCAGTCTCAAAGAACCAACTGCCCTGAAACAAAAAGTCAGTTCTTTTTATCCTTCCTCAGTCTTGGGCAAGAAACTGAGATCTGTCACTTGTGTTAGCCTCATTCTCACCGATAACGCATGCACTGTGTCACTTTAATATTGATTTACCAGAGTTTGCCTTGCAGGTCTATGATGTCTACAAGCACATGTACAGACAATTCACCTTCTCTTGCTTTGGAGAGGTATGTCTCCACCACATAAAAGCTTTTAAGAAATTTTGACATTTTTAACTTATTCTTCTAGTTTTACTACTCTTTAGTTAACAACATTCTGGAGCTCTTTATCTAGCTTGTGTATGACTCTCACAAACAGCATTCAAGTAGAATGAAAATTGCTTGGGATTTTTTCATATGTTTATGAATTATGATTCTAAGAAATTATGTGAATTAATTTATTCTTAATAAAATATTTAAAAGACACAAGCCTTATTTACTTGTTATGATCAGAAACTAATTTTTCCAGGAAATTTCAAAAGAAGAAAAAGAAGCTCAACTGGTAACCAAGGTAGTCCAAGCAGTAAACTTTGGCCTTGATGTTATTGACCAAGCTTTTGAAAAATTGGATACTAATGCTGGTAACTCTGATTCTGAAGATGAAGAGAGTAGTTATGGAGTTGATCCACTTTTTGAGGCAAAAGTGAGTAAGGAATTCTTATTGCAGATAAATTCAACTTGTTATTTTCACATTTTTTGTCTGTATTTTGTGCATTTTTTCCATCCTTGCTGTCTGACTTTTATTGCTTTTATTCTCTTTTACTAAACATTTCTGATTTTTATAAGCATTTTCACTTTCTTTATATTTGTCCATATCATTTGTATAAATAGTTGTATGAATAGTTTAAAATTAATTAAAATTAAAATCCATATCTTTTATAATGTAAAAATTAAAAAATATAAAGTGTAGCAATTTACATTTTATTTACATATAAACCTATATAATCTTATTCTTAAATCATAAAGAAAATCATATTGTTTATTTCTAGTTTTTATTTTTTGATTATATAAATATATATATTCACTTTTTAGGATCCGTATCTTCAGCGTTCACTTCCATATTTGATAGGAAGTGCCAATTTCATGCAAGATGACAATGTAGGATTATTAGAAATATTTTCAGGTGAATATCTTCTTTTTATTTTTAAGATAGACATTTTGTACATTATTTTGTTTTGTTTTATATTCAGTTTTTATTTTTTGAATTCCCTTCAATTGAAGCTGTTAGATATACCAAATAAATTTTATTTAATTTCCTTACATTATTTCTTGTTTCTTCAGTAGTCTTGTAATTGTTTTAGTTTGGAACTTGTATCAATCAAAATGAATTATTAATAGGAGTGTTGTAATTCTTTAAATACAATATATACTTGTATTACATAATCAACTGATTTTATGCTCTTTTTATTTATTCATTTTCAATTATTATTTATTTTATTTTATTTTTTTGAACAGGCAAATATTTTTAATTTCTGTAGGCTTATTGTAATTACCATACATGAGTAAATCTGATATAATCATAGAAATCTTGTATTCAAAGAGTATGCTTAGAATTTAAAAAAAATCTTTTGGTAAATCAATAATCAGGAAATTTTGTGCACTTTGAATTTTTAATGGGTGTTTAGTATAAACATTTTACAAATGTCATTTACTCACTACTATTTAGTTTTTTTGGCATTTTTATAAATTAATACTAAATCTATTTGCAGAAGAAGAAGGAGGTGAAACTGATCATGGAAGCATTAGTGATGACTCTGAACCAGAAAAAGGGAAACTCGACCAAAATCAATCTGAAGTAAGTAAAAACAAACCTATGTCTGGATGTTTTTTTTTCTCTCATCTGTAAATTATAACTAATGGAGTTACTATATACATACATGTGGCACGTCTGTTTGAGGTTTCCTATAGCCCCACTGAACTTAAATAAAGTCAATTCAGGTTTCCTATGGTAAAAATTTTCTATCTCAAGTAAAAATCATCACAAAAATGGCAAAAGTCATTTTGTCACAGCTTATTTTCTCTCAAAAAATGGATTTTCATACTTTTATAGGGGTAAAATATTGAAAAATGACTGTTTTATCATCACCTAAACTAATACCAAGGCAACTTTTGATCTGAACCCCATGAAACTAGGTATTTTCTGAAAGCAAACAATAAGTTTTTTCATTTAAAAATAAAATTAGCTGGTGTAAATGACTCAAAATTTTTTTCAGTGGGTAAAATGTGAAAAAATAGTGAAAATTTTGCATTTTTTTATTGTTCTAAACAAATATTTTTTTTTTTTTTTTTTTTTTTTTTTTAAATCAGAAAGCCTAAATCATAATCAAACTATTTCAGGCATAAAATTGAGAGTTTTGAAGGAAATCAACATTCCTAGAGGTTCAAAATGCGACAAAATCCATTGGTAATTTTCAATTATATGACTGCCAAGGGTTAAAAAAAATTGACACCCGGGCCACAGAAATCTTTAGTAAAAGGCAAGAGATTTATCTGCAATTCCTAACCACCAGAAACCAAAAGTTTTTTTTTTCCAAAAAATAGCAGCGATAAGGAAAATTAAACCTAATTGACTTTGACATCTAGGTCAAAGGTCAGCCAGCCAGCAGCAATGGTAAACCTTAGAACAAGTTGCAATAAAACCCACCACTCCCAGATAAAAGCAAAGAGTGAAAAAAAAAAAAGGGTTCAACATTACTATGGGCTTGATATAACCTATGTTTGAACAATGGCTTGATGAGTTTTGTTTTGTTTTTAACACCCCCGTGACCCGGGTTGATGACAACAACACTTAGCAGACGACATTGTTTTTGTCGCCGCATATCTTTCTTATTTCCCATCGCCGGTCCATTTAGCTGTTCCTTTTATTCAATGATGTTCGTGCCAAATGAAAAAGAAAGGAATGAATTTTAAATGATGTTATTTTGAAGCGAAAATAAATATTTTTTCATAAAAAAAAGGGGGATTTTTCTCTGAAAATTGGGCATAATTTCTTAATGCTAACCACCGAGTGACATTTTCCACAGCCAAATCGAAGATTAATTACCAGTGAATAATTCCATGGGCAAACAATACCCGTCTGGATCCTATAACGTCGCCCTAAAAGGTCCAGAAGTTTACTAATTGATCGAAAACCTGTTGCACATAATTGTATTTTTCACAGTGAGTTTCCATTATTTCATCTTGATATTATCATTTTCGGACAGCCAAGTCATCAAGGATTCAGGAAAACAGTTTGGCATAGGTTTTCTTTAAGAACTTTACATTCTATGAGGTGTTTAAAATGTTACTGACGAATGAGATTTTTTGCCGAATATTTCATTTACGCGCCATGTTGGATTTTCCTATATGACAAAAACAAGGCTTTTAAACAGCCGTGGTGGTCATTGCTGGTATTTTTAGTTCAAGCTTTTTTTTCTTTTTTTTTTTACTTTGGAAAATTTTTTAAAAATATTATCTACATTTTAAGAAAGAATTAATTGGGTACAACAATATTACTCTTTAAAGAATTAATGTGTTAATATTATTTCTCTTGATCTAGTAAATTTTGTGTTTGGAAAAGAGTCAAATAATCTTGACTACTATTTGTTTCAGTTGTTAGTATTTCTATCAAGTTTATGACTGCTCTGGTTTGTATCATAAATAATAGCAATGTAATACATCAGGTTTTGACTCTATTAACTTATTTCAGAATGAGTAATCACATTCCTCTCATAAAATATAGACTGGGGTGATGAAAATCTTTGAGCCAAACAAGTAGTCCTTTCAAAAATAATCTGATATTTAGCCAGATTTTGAGAAATGGCTTAGGTCAAGAACTTTTCAGCGTGCCCTAGTACCTGCAACAATTGTGCCTGATTGACAGGGATTTATATTTGAATTTCATAATATATATTTCATATATATAAGTGCCAAAGGGTTGTATTATGAATACATTAACTTCTACAGAAATTCCTGTTGAGTCCTCAAACTGAATTGACAGAAATTCTCATCATCCACAGTTAATGGGTTAAAATATTTGTATACTTACGTTATTTTTTAATCTTTTAAAGTGCGTATCTATTTTTTATTAGGTATCTTAAAATAAAAAATAATGTTCCCATTAATGTTTAATTTAATCCTATTTTTTTAGTTATTCTTAAGGAGATATTTACCTTCTTCCTCTTTGTTTTCTATAACAAATTATTTTGGTTTTATCTCAAATTTTGTCTTTTGTTTTGAACATTTTCTTTAGTACACAGATGAAGATTTATCATCTGATTCTGATGATCTCTTAAAGCCAAAAAGCAGTAAAAATGCTCTGAAAGCTAAGGTAGGTGGACATATTTTATTCCAAGGAAACCTATTTCCAAAAAATTGTTATTTCATCAATGGCCAAATGTAAAAATGAGAATGATTACACAAAAAAAAAAAAAAATCCACTGGAATGGAGTACACAACTATTCTTGTTCTTGTGAATACTTATGATGCACACATTAATTTTTCTCCAAAATTAAAGCCGCTTCAGTGGATGATTTGCACAAAACTTTGAAAAAAATCTAAATTTAGTTTTGTTTTATGCTGACTAGTGATTTACCACTTGTCAACAATTTACTAATCCATAATAATGATTTCAATAAGTTATGAACAATCATTACATTAACTGTACTGTGTGTCATTCAGTTGTCATATAAGATATTAGCTGTTTAGAATTATCTTTCTAGAAGTTCACTTGATGGCTACTTAGATATTTTCATTTGACTCCTAAAGTGAAACCACTTTGAATCTTTTGATTGAATTTTGAGATAAAAGAAAACAAATAATTTTAAAAACTGGTACAATTCAATTGCACTGTGAAGTGGAAACTCTATTTTCAAGGCTCTCTGTAGTGTTCCTCTTTAGATATGAAAAGTGAAGTATTATCGTAATGTTTGTCACCATAAATATAGTTCTTTATTTGCTCATTTTTATTCAACTATACCTGGAACTGGAAGAGGATATCTGTAGTGGACATCTATTGTCATTTAATACTGTCATAAGTAAATATTTACAAACTGGGCTTTTTTTTCTAGTTGTATATAAAGGAACATGTTTGCTTTATATTATGGCTAGATTGAAATTGGTTTTATACTCTATATTTTCTGTGTCATTTTTATTGTCTATTTAAAAATCAGCTAATAAATTAGATCTTTCCTGCTTTTTATCTGTTTCATTTTTTTCTTTTTTATGATGTTTTTTTTTTTTTTAGTACGATGATTCTGATGAAGAAGAAGAAAGTAAAGAATACTTATTTGACAGTAAACAATCTGAAAATGAAGATGAAAATTACTATTCTGAAAAGAGTGAAGGTGAAACATCAAAGACTGAAGATAGTGATGAGGAAAGTGATGAGAAAGGTAACACTCCAGAGGTAAATACAAAAATTATATATTTTGACTCTATCATATGAAACTTTATTTTTGCTTAACTGATTGAGTCTTACTTTTATATACAGTAGTAAAATATTACATTATCAAATAATTTTTATATCATACAACTTCAGAGTTCACAAATATCCCACTTACTATAAAACTTTATTGTTTTTGTACTACTGATAATCACTGATAATTTTTGTCTAGCTGATCAGTCATGAAATACAAGTCTATTGAAATTTATTTTATGCTCTTCCTCTACATCATCTATATTCCATGTTCCTCTCACGAAAATAAAATAACAGTTCACAAAATCAATCTATTGACAAACTGGCCTATTTTATTCAGATCTTCATTAGTTTTCTTTATCAAATGCAATGGTACATTGTCATGCAAAAAAAATAATCTTCTAAAAAGTATTTTTGACTTCTTGAACCATGACTCTATTTGCATCTTTTAAAATCAGTGTATGTATAAGTTGTCATGTTAACATCATCTGAGTTGCATGGCCAACTACTTCACCACCTATAATCCAACTAGAAAGCATCACACTACCACCACCTCCTTGATGTCTCAACCTTTGTGGACACTTTCCATCTAGTATTCATCCAATCTTTGCTTCATCTGTCTAGCCAATTGAGGGTAGCATAGCATCTCTTCATGAAATAGTTGAAAAATCAATCTTCATATATTTTGTTGTTCATTCAATTTTTCTCATGGATTTCTTTTAAGGCAAGCATAATCATTGGTTTCACATGTTTTGCCAATTAATTTAGGACTCTACTGTTTGTACTTTTTGGTCCTTTCTCACTGCAACAGTGCCTAAATATTTTTTATAGCTTTACATAGATGGATTTTTTAATAACTTCCCTCTTGATCTAGTTCAGCAAGATAAGGTCCTCAACTTACTCTTATCAAATAAAATTTCAAACTTTCAATGTGATTATTAATTTGAGATTTCAGAATTCATGACATTTTATACACTAACTGCCATTTCTTTACATCTGCACAAAACAAAATGCACCATTCAAATATCACACATAATTAACATGCAACCTTGACCAAGGTTTATCAGTATTAGGCCTGGGTTGATAATTTACATGAGGCAATTTTGCTGATAGAGCACAACCTCTGCATGACTTAACCAAATTTTGAATATCTTGGTCCATTTTAGGCCAATATACATAACTTCTCAAGGGATTTCATTCTTGACATTTCAGAATTTCCAACATAAAACTGCTTCAAAATTCTTTTTTGCAAGTAAGCAGGAATTACTACTCTTTCAGTGTAGATCAGTACTTCATCACAGATGGAAAAAGACTTATTTTCAGTAACACCTGGTTTATTTTTCTTTCTTTCCATCTTACTTTTATGTCTGACATCATTTTTAAAATTTAGTCATCCTTCTTGGGTTGTATTTTAATTTTGTTCAAATTTATGGGTAGTTTCCTTATTGTGTTACAAAAAAACACTATCTCATTTTCAGAAATTAAAGAAGCAATCACTGTCTCCTCAAAAGGTTCCTTAAATTTTGTGATTAATCTGGACAATCCAAATTTCTTTGATGCTATACTCCATCTTAGAATCATAGTTTAGGAAAAAATTGTTTCCCATCATTGCAATCTGTTGGCAGTATGTGTTATAATCTCTTTTTTATTTTTTCTTCAAGAAAGTCGTCAATTTTCCAGTTAGTTTTAAACCACCAATATAGCCTCATTCATAGGAGCCTTGATTATCATCCAATTGTTATGGATTGAAGCCCTTCAGATCAATTTCACAAAGTATTCTGAATTCTTAACATATGACAAGGACTTCCTCGTTAGTAGGTTGATTATATCCATTAGGAATTTGCTCTAGCAGGAGGCAACCAAACCCCTTCAGTTGACTATAGGTCTCAATGGAATACCATCTCTGTGAATTTTGTGTAGACTATTAGAGATGGACAGTTTAACTGAAAAACCGACTTTTTTCAGTTTCGTCTTCACACCGTGAAACCACATTGAATTTTTTTATTAAACCAAAATTGTTTGTTTTTGTGCTATCATCAATACTGAAAAGAAACACTATTGAAAAAGACTTTCAGATGTTAATAAAATTAAATTTTATCAACATTTATACCATTGCAAGAGAAAAAGATTGAAGAAAAATATGTTAAAAACATTTAATTGACTAATTTTTGGAAATAAATCTATTTGTTTACAAGAGAAATGAAGAAGAAAAAATGGAAATACGACATGATGTCTGAAATCTGTTTGTTTCAGGTTTTAAAAAAAAACTTTTTGTGGTAAAATTAAACAAAATAGCAAGTAAAAATAAAAAAAAATAGTTGCCAGTTTCGTCTTAATGTTAAATTTTATGAAGTCGGATTTTTTGTAAGGGTCGTAATTAATTGTTTTCTAGTAAATGCCAATCATGAAATAAAATTGTTGTAAACAAGAAAAATGAATAAAGATTATTTTTTATAAATAAATTTGTTTTTTTTTATTTAGGGAATGCACCTAAATTAGATATTAAGAATTAAAATAGTTCTTAATTTCACTTTTAAAATATGTATATTTCCAAATATGCGAGTCTCTAAGTGTAAAAAAAAAAAAAAAATCGTTTGTTTTCTACAACTAACTCTAGACACTATACATATGTGGTAGCTTAGTGTAACATTGAGTCAGTTACTTAGTAAGTCCTTGTTTTTATTTGTGATAGCTTCATCATGAGTTTTTATGATTGGGTCCTCACAGATTGCTATAGGTACTATCCTCAACTAGACTTACCAATTTCTCAAGTATACCGATTTATCTAGGTCTTGTTTGATTCCATATTTGTATGTTATGTTATTCTCCGAAATAATGTCCTTGTCTATTTGAAGAGTTCACACTGAAGCTGTTTTTTTTTCCAATGGTTGTGGATAATATTTTTGTCATGAGGGTATGCCTACTCTTTCCACTAAACTTTCTGCTCTTTTGGAACTGACTGGTCTTGATTGATAAACCTGGTGGAACTAACTTTAGATTCTTACATCTATATAGGAACATCAAGTGTTTTGACATCTGTGCTAATTTTTGATAGAGCTCTTCTGACTGCCACTATTGGTGCATCAGATTCGATAATTTCTTTCTGAAGTTCTGGTATGAAGAGTTATTTTTATTTACATTATTTGCACTCAGATATAGTAATTGTGAGTTCAATCCCTGGGCTTGATAAACTTTGTGGAAATAGAGTGGGCAATAACTGACCATTACTAAATAAGAACAAAATCAAGATATGAGCAGTAGAAGGAGAACAATCTACTGTTGCAGAGTAAATAAATATCTTTTAATCATGTAATTTATTTTCAAAATTTGTTTCTAATACATTGCTTCCACATTTGGGGCAATGTTGTGCTATTCAAGTTTTTCTTTTATTTTCTCAGTAAGTGTTGTGAACATCATTTTCAGCGGTAGGAAGAAAACAAAAATTACACTGCTGTATAAAATCTAAGAGAGACTTGGTATAGGGAAATACCAGCAACAAAACACTGATATCCTTAAAAAAAAGTATGTTGCAATTTAGTTATTGTTATATTTAATAAACTTTGTCCAGGGCCCTGAGAGTAACTCCACCAGAGTTTCATAGACAAAATACTAATTAATGTTGTTTTAAAGAAATGGTCAGTGTCACCAAAACAGTGCAATAGTGGATAGAGCTGAATACATTAATTATAGATCAATGATTGTTGAGCAGTGTTAAACAAAATTACAAGTTGTATGGAGAACTCTCTCTCTCTCTGATCACTATAAAATATTAACCCACTCACCTATTAAGCTATTGGCTGAACAAAAAGCAGATATTCAAATATGGAAATATATCAAACATTAATATCATAATTCATTTATTTTTATTCTGACTTTTTTATTTGCTGAATTTCTTGTCTTATGTTCATTTCATTCCACTGGCTATTGTGTGGACTGGCTATTATTCCTACAATGTACATCACTGCTTTAATAATTTCTATGCTAACGTTACTACTTCATGATCCTACCATCTTACATCTATTAAAAGTTCCTACTCTTCATAATTTTCCACACCACACTTCTGGATCCACCTGTATAGACATTTCCCTTTCTAGTATCCCAAACTCCTCCTTCCTTTTTCAAATAACTTTTTCTTTTATAAACATCAAAAAAAAACTTTTTATATCAAGCAAAAAAAAAAAAATGAACTTCTGTTCTACAGTTGTTTTAAACTTATTATTTTTATTTTGAATACCAATTAATTCTTGTCCTTCTTTTTTCTGCTTTTAACAGAAGCCACAAGGTTTGATAGGATTCCAGGCAGAACTGGCAGCCAAATTGGGTATACCACCAATGGAATCTACTACCATTCATGAAAAAAATTCTAAGAAAAAGGAAAGGAAAGGTTAGATGATTGGTCTTTATTCATCATACTTATTATAAAACCCAGGTTGGTTGTGTGTGTGTGTGTGTGTCTGTATGTTTATATATTGGATCGGATTTCCTACATTTTTAAACCGATTTCAACAAAACTTCACAGGACTATGTAAAATTACCTTGCGGTGGTTCTGACAGTGCCAAAAATTGTTTTTGCACAAAATAAATTTGAAAACACGATTAAGAGGCATCGCTGTCACGAGAATGAAAGAGGGAAAAACCCATATCGAGTTATACTTATTATAAAACCCAGGTTGTTTGTGTGTGTTCGTTTATATATGGGATCGGATTTCCTACACTTTTCAACCAATTTCAACAAAACTTTACTTTTTTTTGGCAGGTAGTGTTTCTTATTGTCTTGCACACTTTTTTCTTTATTTTTACATTCAGAATGCTTTAAAAATTCCATTTACAAGACAATTGTTTAAAATAAAATTCTATTCAATCGGTAGACTCATAACGATTGAAACAATGTTTGAGTTTGGGTTTGAGTTTGACCGATTCATAAAAAAAAAAAAAAACTAATTAAGACATGCGTGTCCGTCAACCTTAAAAAATAATCTTTGTCAATTTTATTTTTCAGTCTTTATGATGGTCGATACTTGATCTATCTCTTACTGTTACATCCCCGGGCAATGCTGGGCTCTACTGCTAGTTTATAATTATTTACATTGTTTTTTTTTTCCTATCATTTTATCTGATTATTTTATCTTTGTTCTTTTCTTATTCTCTTAGTTCTCGTATTTCTTTATAGTATTGTTATTATTCCCATTACCTTTTTAAGGTTATTTTCCTTTTCACTTTGCTTTGATTTCATCTACTTCTACTTATTAGTCATCTCTGTTCTTATCATTTGTTGTTTTGGATTTTTTTTAATAGAATGAAAGTATCATCTACATACTTCAGCCAGACCCACAGCTTAAACTGAGTGGCCCATATCTTCAAAACATTCTATGGAGATATGTTGTGCTTATACAAAATGTTAACATGCCCATTAAACTTTTCAATAGTTATGTCAGTATCATTTTCTAGTTACACTGAATATGTAATGATCCTCAGTAGGTACATAACCACATCAAAACTAAGTACCAGTGATGATGAGATGGCTGCCTCCCAAATTAATTCCACTGTGTGCTAAGTACTTAACATAGGATAATGTTTTACCCAAAAGCAGTTTTAAAATGTCAGCCTGGTTTTCTTTAAGCAAAGTGGATGTTGCTTCCTTCTTTGGTGTAATTTTTGAATCAATTGAACACTTGGTGTACCTGTTGCTGTAAAATAGATCAGAATATATTAATGAACAATTTATTTACCAGTTGTTCTGTCAGTTACAGGTTTCCTTTTTCTCATGAATTACACTTGAACAAGTTTGAGGAATGGATCAGCCAAAACACTGCGATGATAAGAGCAAAAATATATATAGAAGAGATTTAAGAATCCAAATATTATTGAATATATTAATGACTCTTGTGTAAAATCCACCCATCAAAGCAATTACCATAAGCAAATTTGAGTAAATAATTTATTTATTTTGGATGTTTTGAATATGTTGGTTCTCTCTCTAATGTCGATTATTCTCAAGTAATATTTTAATTTAAGTACTATCAAAATCTGAAAAGGTCTATTAAGTTTCATGACATACACTATCTTCTTATAAATTTTACAAAATATTTTTTGCATTTGAGTTGCGTTTTTACTGCTCTTAAAATAAAAGCATAATATTCCAAAAATGCTACTTATTTTTTATCATCAGTATTAAAATCTGTAAATCAAAAATATGTGAATTTTTTTAATTCATTCCTGTTATAATCAAAAAGTGATATTTCTGAATGAATTTAGTTAAAACTGAATGCACCTCATGCCAAAAACAGGTCAAGCATTTTAAGGTAGCCTCTCTCATACAAAATCAAAAATAATACAAAATCATAAAATTGGAACAGTTTTTTTTAAATCTGTGATATGCAAATGTAGAGATACTGATACACAGAAAATCTATACAATCTGTTGTAATAGTGTTAGCATAATGCCACAATTGTAATAATATTTATAAAGATATCAGGAGTTATAATATGATTTTTTTTTTTTTAAATCATTTCACCCCAAATATGACAATAAAACCACTAAGATGCAAGGGATTACAAAGTGTTAGAGAATATGAGAAAAATATACTTTTAAGGAGAGTAGACAATAAAAGAACAAGATTTAAGAAGACAGAAGATAATGAAGTACACTGCATTTAAATTTTTGAAAATCAATGTTGACAGGGAAGCAAGAAGCTGAAAGAGAGTTCCACAAGTGAGGAGTGCAATAGAAGAAACTGTTAGCATAGAACTTATAGTTACATCTAGCCAGTTCAACTGTAAAATGATGAGACTTTGCTGCTAATCTAGTACTGTGCTTAAATTCATAAAGTCTAGGTACCATCAGAACATTTACCAAGAAAGTATACAAAAGGCACAGGGAAGCTACATTACAGCAGTGGGAAAGGTACTGAAGCCAAGATGCCAGGTCAGGACAAATAACATTGCAGATTCTTCTTTGAATTTTATCAAGTATCTCTAAATATATAGCAACCGCATCAGACCTGATGCGGCAGCAAGATCCAAAGCATGGTCGATTGTTAGTCTTATAAATATATCAGATAAATATGTGAAAAAAATTGTCTAGCACAACACAGGGAACCAACTTTTCTAGATGCAGACTTATCAATTGATCCAATATACTCTTTCTACCTCATATCAGTAGAAAATTTTAGTCTGAGAAGGCACAATCAGTCACTCTCTTGGAGGTTGCAATTAGTCATGTTGATGGAAGGTAAAATGGATTCTCTCAGATGATTAAAAGAAAGCAGTTTCATTTTGGAGGCATTAAACAAGCCACTCCTTGCCCTATTTAACAACAGATTGTAGGTCATTTTTTTAAAATCATCTGTCAGTTTGATAACAGATTACACTTACTATTATTCAATAACAGATTACACTTACTATTAAAACAAGAGTAAATAGTTGTATCATCAGCATAGACACTGAACTGAGAACTGTTCAAGAAGATCATTTTGAATATTAAGAATGACATAGATCCAAGAATAGAACCCTGGGGAACACCTGCATTAATGCAAAAGAGTTCAAGTCAACTTTCATTTCGCAATTTGATAAGAATGAATCAGTTCAAAAACTCATCAAGAAATACCATAACCTTTCAATTTGTGGAAGACCAGTATGCTAAACTTTATCAAATGTTTTTGAGATATCCAAAGCAACACTGAGCTTCACCATTCTTATCTAAAGCTTGATAGACTCTTTCAGCAATAATCATTAACACATCAGCACTTCACCTAGAGAACTGAAATCTACATTGCTTATCTGAAAGAAGACCCAGCAAGCAGAAATGCTTAATCAATTCAGAGTTAATTAGAGCCCTTCTTTGCCAAAAAGGCAGCCATCAGAAAAGAGGTAGAAGGTCAATTGTCACCAATAGAAGAATTATAGCAAAATGAAATGTAATGATATTTTTACTCTCTTTTAAACAGTATTTCTGATATTTTCAGAGTCAGTAACTTCTGTGAAAAGGTCAAAGTATAAAAAGAAACGTGATGATTATCAAAAGGATAGTAATTCTTCTAAAGGTTGGTTGGTTTTACCTCAGTTTGTTTAACCAATCATTATTGAATTATAGTCCTTTACATAATGATGTTCAGTATATTTTTTTTAAATTTAAATTAAAATCTATTTTTTAAAAATTACAAAATTTAAGTAAAGGATTAATTATATCATTGGCTATCAGAAAGTTTAAATTTCATGCCTTAGAATGATTCTAAAGTACAGTAACATCTATTTTTTCCTTAATTTTATAACAAAGGATTTCGGTTAATTTGCAGTGTAACACCCACGCTCAGTTTGCATTAAAAATTTCCCAAATACTTAAATTTATGTGTAATTGTACATGCTCCATTTGAATCTGGCTTGATAAATTTAATAAAGTCCACCATTTTGGAGTTATCGACAGTGAAAGTTCGGATTCATTCGCATTGTTGGTGGCCACCATTACCGTCTTTGTTTGCATACATTCGCTGCAGAAAGCTAAATGCGGAAGACTACAGAAAGCTAAGTGCAGAACTGATCTTTCTTGTCAATTTTGTCCCAATTACTGCGCAAGAGAATTATTTACATAGACACACTCAGTTTGCACAATGATAACTACATTGATATCTATTCTGCAGTGAATGTATGGAAACAACACCAGTAATGGCTGCCTGTGATGTGAATGAATCCGAACTTTCACTGTCAACTCCAAAGCGGTAAATTTTATCAAATTTATCAAACCAGATTCTAATGGAGCATGTACAATTACACATAGATGTAAATATTCTGGAAATTTTTAATGCAAATTGAGTGCGGGTGTTACACTGCAAATTAACCATGATTTCTTTCATAATACAAAAATTATTGTCTTGTGTAACTTATTGATCTAGATAATTTAATGATTAAAATAAATTAAACCTTTTCATTGAATTTTACAGTTTTCATCATTTCTTCTTTAGTAGATATGCTTATTTCCACCTAAAAATTTTGATTTTTAGAATCTTTATTTTATAGAATCCAATTTACCATTTGGTGCTCCAGAAGAAGATGAAAACTCTATATTTGGTAGGACTGGTATGTTTTCAAACAGCAAAAAGTATCTATTTGATGATGAAGAGGAAGAAGTGAGTAGTTCTTTTCATCATTTCCATGACACAACTAAAGTAATTCAAAATAAAAAAAATTCTTAGAATGATTATAGCCCCCCCCCCCTTAAGTAATTAACCTGAACATTTTATTCAAGTTAAATACTGAATTTGATTACTGGGTATAAGTGATAATGTATTTTTGAATCAAACATAATTTCAAAATCATTTTTGAATCTATGCTAACAATTTAACCAATACTAGACTGAAGTTTTATTCAAATCCAATTTTAAGTAGTTTGTTTCCTGTTTGATTTGTTCATGTAATATTGTTAATAATTCAAAATAAATATGGGACACTAGATTTGTATATGAATACACAAATTTCTATAAAGTAATTACAGTTAATGATATCTGATCAAATAAATTTCTAACCTGGAGTTTTCTCTTCAATTAAAAAAAATATTAATTCACTGAACTGCTAATATTAATAATTTTTTTGCTTTTCTTCTCATAGAAAATATTTTAATATAGTTTTTTTTTTTTTTTTTTTTTTTTTATTACTACTAGGGTGGTCTTTTTGATGGTCTATCTCAGAAGTCATCTTTAAAACAGTCTTCTTCAGTCAAAGAAACTGACTCGGATAATTATGATGGCAAGTATTTAACTATATTCCACCTGCATCCTCAAACTTTTCAAGTTATTTTTTTGTAATGTGGACCTACCACTCTCACTGGGTTGATAATTGTATACAGACCATGATAGTCATCTTAGTGGCTGATACCTTTCTTCAGTTGGTCTCACCATGTTCCTTCAAACAACCTCGGTAGTAAGCTCACATACTGAATTTCTTTAGTTCATTTGACTCTGTTTAATCTCTTTCTGGGATCAACAGATCGAGAAAGAGTATAAAAGAGAAAAAAAATAACATCAACTGGTGTTACTTGACATTTATTCTGTTTTGTATCAAAGTGATTTTTTCACACTGTTCTGCTAAATCAAAATAGCAGTGGTGAGGAAGGTGGCAAGTTGATCAGTTCATCTTTGCATCTCACTGCTTGAGACAGAGTTGAGAATAATAAAACTGAAACAACAGAGTTTTTCTTTGCACACAGCTAACAGTTTCTTGAAATCCTAAGCAAGACTAATTATATTAGGTTTTCAGGTAGACATAATTATCTTACATCCTTCAGGTTATATTTTTAATCTGGAATTTCCTTATAAGGTATGCTTATTTGTTTAGTCAAAATCCTTTCTAGCTCGAGTTCCAGTCCTAAATGAAGATCACTCCATTTACAGATGGTTCAAATGATATCTTCTGTTAACAAATATGTTCATTTTTACTGACCCTAAATATAGTTCCTACTGTCTGTTCAGCCACTTCCACTCACTGAGCATTCCCATATTTTTATTCAAAAAGACACTTAATTTTTCGATTTAAATACTAGCATAAATACTCTGTTAATGTTGTTTTCAAACAAATCGAACTTAGATAAAACTTCATTAACTTTTTTCAAATTATTATTAATAAAAAAGTAAATAAATTAAGATATAGTTAAACATTTAATTTAATAATTTTTCTTTTTTTCAAGCAGAAACTATAGCAAGCTTTACAATAATTTTATAATTAGTTACTATTTATTTTGGGAGGAAATTTAAATTTTTTTAAGCAAATAAAGTTTTACCTTTAAACATTAATTACTAATTATTTTGAAAGAGAGTAGAAGCAAGATACATTGAGAATTTAGTTTTGAAAAACGATTATGTTTAAATTTCAAATTGTATTTAAAAAGAAAAAAAAAACTTAAATAAAAATTAGGAGAGACAGACATTATCTAAGGTCACCATTCATCGTGTTGAATATTTTTTACGAATTTAAAAATATTTGAAAAAATAAGGCTCACTATAGTTTTTTTTTCTTTAATAAAACTTAATTGAAAATTATTTACTTTATGTTAGTTACAAACCAAAAAACAAAGTTTATTTTTTAAAGATTAAATAAAAAATTATTTTCCATAAGATGGCCAAAAAATATTAAGTCAATAATATACACACATACAAACAACTGCTCTTTAGGATGATATTGTGTCTGTTTATTTATTTTGTAGCCGGACACACACATGCACACTCGAATATTTGAATAAATGAATATTAAACTTTTTGTCAAATAATTATATTTAATATTCTTCTTTTAAATTTACTTTGTTGGTTTAATATTCATTTTTTTTAAAGTTACACTTTTATTTACTATAGAAGTGAAAATAAATCCAAGAGAATATAAATTTTAAAAATACATGTATAGCATTTTGAAAGTATCAACAGAATAAAAAGTAAAATGAATGCGAATCATAATCAAGAATAAGAATTACTTTTTGTTTTTAATTCTGAGAATTTTGAATGCATTCTAATGCATTTCAATTTTAAAATATCTTCAGAGATACAAATCATACGATGATAATTTTTTTACAAAAAGCTGACTTGGGTGATAATGAATCTGTATATATCTTTGTCATGAATTACTATAATTTTTTAATTTTAGCTGGACACACACAGACAACTGCTCTTTATATATGTATAGATAAAATTATTCCCATTAGTTTCATACTCTTTTAAATGTTGATGCAGTTCTGATTTTGAATGCATAAATATATGTAAATTATATAATCCTGGTTTAGGTCTGTTTAATATAAAACTTGTTTAACCTGTTAATATTACTATTGCTTTGCTAAAATTTAAATCCTATCTTTAAATTGTTCTACTAAAAAAAAAATCATTTTTGAAGGGCTTGCAGCAAGTGACCAAAATAAATAATCTTTGTGCTACTCAGTTGTACTCAACTAAATTGAGCACACACATTCCAAACCTGCACTTTGAAATACTTGATAATCTATACTCAAAAATCTGTTGTGCTAGCACAATTCTGAGCATAGATTCTAAATCAGTTTACTTGATTTTGCCTTGTATCCCTTATCTGAGTAGCAAACAATTTCTTTTCTAGGGAAACTAATAAAATCTACCCAAAGATGTACCTGTACATGACACTAACTGCAAATATAACAATTCTTAGTATTATTAGTTACCTAATAGCATCTACACTCATATGTCTGTGAGTTGCATCCAATGTAACCAGATTAACACTAGCACATAAATGAATAAACAAAACTTACTACTGAAAGAAAAAAGGCTTCCTCATGCAACTTCATTACAGGAAAACATTTTCTTTTTGCTCCAGAAGTTATGGTTGGTAAGTATAAGTATCCTATTGATGGTCAAGCTCAAGTCAGCCTTATGCAGATTTGGAACAACCAGAAGAAAATTTATACTTATTACTTTATTGTTGAAAGGTTAAACATGGTCATGAGACGTCCGTTTATTTTTGTTTTGTTTTGTTTTTTTTTTTCTTGGCCAAGAAGTTAGGGTAAGTCAGTACAGGCATTGTTTACTGTGGTTGTGCTCAAGTCAGCCTTCCACTAAGTTGGAACAACCAAAGAAAAAGCTTGATGTACTTTATAGCTTTAGGTTTTTGGAAGACACATGCGAGTGCCATGTGTCGGAAAGTGCAAAGAAAGTGGACCAGGGAAACTAACATTCCACAGTGAGTACATAATTACCATGTGGTTCACATTTTGGAACAAAGAGGAGAAACAGAGTGAGGCAGGAAATGTTTGCCTTTTTTATAGGCTTTAACAATGCCACCTAATAACATTTTCTGAAACCAAGTGGGGTAATCCTATTTCCAATTTATTTACTCTTAGCACCGTGGAAAAACATATTTCTTTTTCTTTTTTTTTTTATTATTCATTATTATTATTTTATTTGTTGATTTTTATTTCATTTTCACACAAGTTTCCCTCCCTTTTGTAATTCCAACTGATAAATGTGCAAGCAATTTGTTTTGTTATTGTTGTTGTCAACAAGTTATTCAATTTTTGTTTTTAAAAATTTAGTTAATTTTAATTTTTATATATTTTTATTTGCATTTTTTACAGACTTATTTTCAGCCCCAATAAAAAATGAACCAAAGAAAACTTTGCAAGATGCCAATCAAAAGAAACCATCTAAGACCAAGACATTATTTGATGATGATGACGACGACGATGATGATGATGATCTCTTTAGTTCCAGTGTTTCTGGAAACAAACAAGGTAGACTTCTTTTAAGTTCATTCCAAAATAGAGTAATGATTAAAGATGTTGTTATTTATAACTTAACATTGTTGATTTTTTTTCTTTATATTTAGACTTGCTAACATTGTTATTCTGCATATTTATAATTTCTATTTTATTTCTCATTTATTTCTGATAGCTACCTTTGTGCTAAGATTTTGATCTCAATCTAGATTTATACTTAGGATACAACATTACTCATAATGATATACAAGTATATTCAGATTCAATATTTGCTTTTTCAAGTATTTAAAATAACTGCAAACATAAATTCACTGTATATACACAAATGAAAGCAAAACAGTTCAATAACTGCATTCTTTCAACACAAGTAACATTTGGCTAAAAACAAAAACTTAACCAGAAAACTCTTCTTCAATACAATCGTTATATGAAGTTTTCATTTGCACAAATGCAAAAGCTTGACAATCAAAAGTGATGAATAAAAAGAAAATCTAGACAGTAATCTTATAGACTAATGATAAATCATTTTTTTAATAAGTTTTGAAAAATCGATGAATCCAACCACAATTATCTTGAACTAATAAAAATGTTCACCAATTTCAGGTCAGAGAGATTTTAATATTCACAGTACCAAAATAAATGCTTCATTCATAAAGTAAACAAAGCAAAAATTGAAAATTCTAAGGTGAACTTGAAATTCAAACTGATAAAAATTGAAAATGTGTTGTAATCAGGATTAAATGTATTTTAATTGAAGTTTTCTTAAGTTCAAAATTTTAGCAAACAAAAAAAAACAGTAATTTATTTTACTTAATATTAATTTTGTTATGATTAAGATATGATTTGTGTTTTGCCTAGTTTCTGCCAAAGCTAAACCAAAACCTGCTGTCAGTTTATTTGGTGCTGAAGAAGAAAAAGATTTATTTGATCAACACCCAGCCAAAATGGAAAATAGTACAAGGGCTTTTGAAAAAAGGGTAAGTTTTCTTTTTGGCATTAAGAAAAATAATTTCCCTAATTATAGATTGAGTATTTTTATCTTACACAATATGTATGGTCTAGTGAATTGAGGAAAACAAATTAATTTTGTAAGCAGACAATAATAACAATCCAAAAATCAACAAGATAATGAAACCCTATATTATAAATTAGAGAAATCTCTAACAATGACCAATAGGTTATTTCAACTGAGTGTTTCACATTTTATGTACTTTTTGATAGACATAACCAAGTAATAGCAAACCAATTATTTTTTTTCAGATGTAAGACATCAACTCTTTAGAAATGTTTTGAGCAGTATCTCTTTACCATGGAAATAATTATTTAATCCACTTACAGAAAGTAATCATTGATATTTCTTTCCTTCCTGATTCACTAGAATGTATTTTGGATGTACATTTTCTATTTAAAAGGCCACCCTTTAACAAAAGAATGTGATGAACTCATGACCATTTCCTTTTATATAAAATATGTAAGAGGCTATTAAAGTGCTTATTTAAAAAATAAGCTGGCTTTAATGTCATTGTCCTATCCTGTAACAAAAATCAGAAAATCTTTAAAAATAATGTTTATACCCTCAATCTCACCCCATCCAATTATAATCATGTATGAAATATTTTTTTTCTTCATAATATTGTAAATTAAAAAATGTGCTGAAAATTGGTATTATCATGAAGATATTTACATATTCATCCAAGCAAATGACTACTTTTAACCAGAAGCAATAATTTCTTACTCAGATTAAATCCCTCACCAAGAGAAATTACTCAATAGGACATTTACCAATAATGTCATCATGACCTTCATTGCTGTTGGAATAAAAATAGGTAAATACTGTGTTGATTGTTCATCAACCACAAACATCTTAGGAAGATTGAAGTAACAGATTTTGAAATTTTATTTTGCATCAGGAGTACAAAATACAAACATGAAAAAGTGTTTAACTCTTCACTCTATAACAACCAAATCCTCTTCAGTGTGATCTTACATTTAATAAAAGGTTTTGTAGAATAATTCTTACAATTGGTACTGGATTTAACTGCAGTATGAACACTGAAAGCATATATAAGAAAAATAAATAAACACCTAATGAAATGTACTGAAAATTATCAAGTAATAAAATGCACCTCTTTACAATGTAGGTAAACTGTTTTTAATACATTTACTTTTTCCAGTTACATGCAGGATCTATTTGTGATCAAAATTTGAATCCATTTGCTGCCATTATGAAAACCCAACCATCCTCAGATGAGGTAATTTTTTTTTTTTTTTTTTTTTTTTTTGATTAATTGGTCAGGTAACAAATGTAACATAGTTTAAAAAATAGTTACTGCTGGTAAGGATCTTTCAAGTAGATTAATCTACACTTGACAGCTGCTTGGAGTGGTGTTAAATTTATAAGTTAATGTGTAAGCCAAACTAGGTAATTTGGTTTACCTAGGTCTGTTCTCTCTCTCTTTTTGAAGTAGAATTTGATATTTTGAACTAAAAGCCTGGAGAAAATTAGATTTGATCATCAAAAAAAGAAGCCAGAAAGAAGCCAGGTATCTGGATGTTTATCCAAATAAAGAAACTCAGAAAAAATATTAGTCTAAAGAAAATAGAATTATTGAATGTATAGGTGAATGGAAGAAACTGACTAACCATGAGGCAGGACCTAGATGGGACAGTACGGACTAAGTAGATAAAAAGGGACAGGAATCCTTTCTAAAAATGATGGAATGCTGTTTATCAATCATTAATTTTTCCATTTCCATCATGAAAATAGTAGATAAAAAATGGATGTTTGGGAAAATCATAATTTGACCAGGGAGATCTAGATGACAATCTAACCAGCATAAACCTATCCAAAGAATAAGATATTTTTTAATCAGTAGACGCATGAAAACCTAGAGGGGATTTTGAACAAAGCAAATTTAGAAAATCTTGGAAAATGACAAATTAGAGGCTTTTAATAATAAATTAATCCCATCCATACTGGGAAACCTCAATATAAGCTGACCAATTTTGGTTGTTATACAATTGCTGTCAAGTTCCCCACATACTTGCAAGGAGTGCCTTGCAAGATATTGCCTAAGATTTGGTTAACTGAAGAAAAGTTTCTCCAGCTGAAGAAGTTTCCATTTGCAAACTGATTATCTAACAAAAGATAGAGACCAAGTTTTGAAGACCAACTTTGTATGCATACTTGAGACCAAAGCTCTTTGAATAAATTGCTGAACTGATTACCAATCAACAGTCTGGGACTTGGTTGTTGTTTTTGCAATAGCTTTTGAATAATACCAGTAAATAACAACTCGCTAACTGGTTGTAATTAGGTAGACGACAGAATTGGAAGGATAAAACTAATAATTGTAACTTTTAACAATAAATTCTATGTTATTGTTTCTACATGCCAGAATCAGTTGTCTGTTCTGACAATATTTCACTAAGCTTCACCTAAGACTTCCTCAGATCAAAAACCTAAACATAATGTAGGTAGAAAAGATCGATTAGAGGAATGAGACCCCAAGTATCAGGAAATGGTAGAGATAAAATTATACAAGTACAGGAATTCATCCAGCAATCATTTCAATATATTCATTGAAATCATGAAACTACAATTAATTCAACACTTTGTTTTGAATAAGATGTCATTAAAGTTGATTATGTTTTTGTAATATATAGAAGATATAATTTGATTAATATCACAAATGTACCTAGATGTAATAACTGTTGTGAGGACAGCTTATAAATATATTTACAAACATACTGTTCTAAACAAAAAAAAATGATAATCGTCCTATGTTCGCATGGGTAAAGTTAAGTGTCATCTGGCTACCCAGCCATGATGAAGTTTCTCTCAGCCTTCCATGTTGCTTTGAAAAAAAGTGGAATTCTACATAAAATTTGTGTTTACAATTTGTGAGAAACAATCATTGTAATTGGTAATATTTGTACTGCTATTGCAGATTATAAAAATCCACATGTATTTGATACATGTACACACATCCAGCTAACAAAAAATTGTCTAAAGCCTTGATGCATATTCATAGGCTCAATTCAAACCTACAATAGCCTAGCAGGTTATAGTGTTGGTTCATGAATTTGGTTGCATAGTCATTGAGTTCAACCTAACAGCAGATTTAGACCCAGTGAAAACAGGGTGAGCAAGAACTAAGCAGTACTAAAAAGAACTAGATGAGATATCCTTAGACATGGATAGCAGAATGAAAGTAATCTACCTCCTGTAGATTAAATAAAGGGATCAGTTTGAAATTACCTGAAAGTTACCCAGATTGTCAGACACCTGAAGAAGGCCAGAGGTCAAAATGGTTGAAAAATTGTTATAATAATAAAAAGATGAGGACATTAGTCCAAATGTAAATAACACCTCATCCCAGAAATTCAGACAGAAGCTACTAGGTTCATGCTAATATTATTATTTATAAAAAATACTTTTGATCTATTAGGCCTGAACATCATCTCCCACTTTATTTAATATTAAATGGAATATAAAAGATCAAATTATCAATATGCCTTGTAATGGTAGAATGAGCATTAAAATTATTAACCTCCTTGAACATTACAATCAACCAAAAGAAATTTAAATCAAAACACTAACTTCCTATGATCACACAATTTTTAAATTTTAATGGCCTCTATCATGATGTTTTATACTACAAGCTGGTTGCTGGTATAACTAAGAGCCAGAATTAGAGAACTATTTCAAAATATGTGAATTTGGGAAAATTTATGAAAAAAGTTAAATAACATTCTTAATAAATGGCTTTTTGATTAATTTTGTATTATAAAAATATTACAATTGTTTTTATTTATGTTTTTAATAGTAAACTAAACCTCAACATACTTTTTTTTAAATACCTTTTGAGAATGAAAAACACAAATAACTTATGAAAACCTAAATTTTATCATTAATATATTTGTTGCTATGAAAAAATATCAAAGATAAAAATATAAAATTTATGTGACATAATAATAACCTTTTTAAATAAATTTTGCAATGTGAAAACAGAATCAAGGAAAAAGTCTTTGAAAGAAAATTCTGTTAAAAATTAAACATAAAACTTTAAAATTAACTTTCTTGAGAATATTTTTAACGTTTGTAAGAAGAGAGACTAACAAAAAATTGGATAACTAAATTTGTTCTTTAAATCAAGTAAATTTACACATTTTTTGGTTATTCCATACTGTATTGATTGTCTAGATCTTCAATTTTTTCTTTAATTTTGCCATGTAAAAGTTACATTACAATGTAAGAAATGGTAAAAATTCAACTTATCTGTTAGAAACAGAGATACAGATATTCTGTAAAAAAAAAAAAAAAAAAATTAAAATTTATCATTAGTGTAATTTTTTTTATGAATGAAAATTTCATAGAGAAGAATAAGTGAAAAATGTTAAATAAACTTCCAAGTGATAAGACTAAGTTTTGTAAATTACATTTACTTTTTGCAAAGTTTTTTTACAATAAACTTTAAATAATATTGCAAGTCTGAAGGAAATAAAATAAATACATTATAATTAAATAATTTAAAGTTATTCCAAATGTAAAAGCAAAAATTTCTTATATATATCAGTGAACTACTGCAAAACCAAACTGAAACTAAAATATGTTGCTCCCAATGGAAGGAAGAGCTTTTGAAATTGGGCCTCCAGTCTTGGCCCAAGTTGCACCTTAAGTAGGGCTGTAGTATAGAATTCCATAGCCTCTATCGATACTCTTTTTATCAAGTGTCATTGAATTAAAAATTGTTAATGAAGCAGATTAAAATAATTTTTAATATTACTGAATATTGTTTCTTTCTTAAAAATCTAGGAAGATGACAAAGCAGAATTATCAGATGGTGATAAATCTTTGGATGGCAGCATCAAATCCATCAAATCAAGTACATCTGTTTCATCAGTCAATAAATTACTGGAAGCTAATAAATTGCGAGAAGGTCACAGTTCTTCTCAATCAAGCAACAGCCTATTTGCAGATGAGCCAGACAGTGATCTGTTCTTTACTAAACCTTCAGTTTCAGCTAGGTAAGTACATTTTTCTGATTTTGTTAGCTTCATAATGAGAGAGGCTCTATAGATAATATATTAGTACCATCCAGAATATTGAATGATTTAAATATAATTTTTTTCTCTTTTACAGGTTTTAAAATGAAAGGATTATTTTCTTATAAAAATATAGGCATGATTTTTTTGCTAAAATTAATATAAATAATGGGTAGTAAAGTTATTATCATAAATATATAAGGCTATTGTTACTATTATCATTATTATACTATTCATGATGGCATCTAAATTACTACCTTCTTTATAGACAATATTATAATTATGTCCAGTATTAAACATAAATAATCATAGTTAATATATAAAATTCTACTTGCTATCTTTTTTTCTGTCTTTTTTCTTTTTTATGTTGATAATGTATATCAAAAAGAAAAGATTCCTTGTACATTCCAAATAATGTTAAATGTTTTCTACATCCCAGACCTCACCAAGAAGGGAGGTAATTCATCAAAAACTGATGCACTATTGTAATGGATCAGGAGTCAAGGAGATAATCAAATATTTCCTTTCTATCTTCACTATTAACTATCTTTTAACACTTTATCTATGCCCGTAATTCTATACAATACTTTGCTCTATTTTTTGTGATTCTCTTCATTTTCTCATTTTGCATATATATTTTTCATGTTTTGCAGGGTATGTAATTAAATGTAAAAATGTTTACTAAGTCAACTACAATTGTCTCTATTAATTAGAAGCATGTTTTTCTGAGTTAACTACAACTTTTATGTCTTAAAATTGTTTGACAGTTAAGATTTTATAGATGACCAAATACAAAATTAGTAAGCTAACCACTTACGTAAGCAAATATCAATCAATATTGGAAATTAATACTTTCTTATTAGAAATATAAAATGTATAATATAGTAGAATTAATTCAAAAACAATATTCTTGTATTAGAAAATTGACACATTTTAATGCATTTGAAATTTTCTACATTCAGTCGGAGAGATCAAGAAAAAGTTATTGTCAGTTCAAGAATGTTATGATTTGTATATTATTGGGAGTGAAGAATGCATCATATTGCTGTTATGATATTTAACAAGCTTAGGTTAGTACAAGATCAAATGAAGGTAGGAAGTTTGTATTTTCAAGTCAGAAGAACCTAGCTGGAAAATCAGTATTCTCAATCAGGTAGGCTCCAATACCAACTTCCAACACTGGTTATAGTAGTCTATATCATTGTAGTCTTCAGTTTGGGTAAATTGAAAGGTGTATCATGATATGATGTGATGTAATTTATAGTAAAAGGATTGGTGAATTTTATGCATTAAACATGTTTCATTTTATGCATTAAACAAACATAACCTGTTCTGTAAAATATATTTATAAAATTGCTTTTGAAGATGATATACTACAACATATCCCATGTCACATTTTTTATGTGTAGTCATACATTTCCTCTATTCTTCTTGAAAATGGCTGAATCAGTCTGAAATAAAAAAAAAAATAATGTACTACTATATACATATATATATATATATATATATATATATTGTCCAAAGTTTTTATAGATTGAATAAATAATTGAAAGTTAGTCATCTCTGAATATTACTCAGTTTCAAAATAAATGTAAAATATTTGTTTCTTTTGTGGCAATGGGCATCAAGAAGTCAATTTATAAACCATAATGATTAATACTACGCTGTATTAAGACTGCTGCTTCAAAACCAATCAGCAACTTAAATATATTTTATGTTTAATTTGTACTTGCTTCTCCCCATGGTATGATTTTGAATATTTGCTAGCTTCATTTTTCACTTGGTATCTTTAATTGAACATTCAGTTAAAACCCATTAATTCCATTTTTGAAATTTTCACTAGAATGTACTATTGCTAAATACCAAGAATCATGACTCACAAAAAGACACTTTAATCCACTAATTGTTTTGTAAGAGTAACCATTCTATATACAGTGAAAGATAGCCTAACAACTGTTTGTCCTCTTCTTTTTTATATTCTTTTCCATGACCATTATTAGCCATAAGATCCAACTTAGTTTCCACACACTCTCTTCTACCCATTCTTTTTTAATTGCTACCTGTGATTTATTGCTGCCTTTCTCATTCTCAGCTACTTCCTCTATTCTATTTAATGGCTGGATTTAAAGAGGAGAATATAAACAAATGGGTATTTTTTTTTATAATGCAGAAGATAGCTTTGTAACATAATCTCAATTATTGTTATTAAAATGTTATCTATTTAAAATTTATTTTTTATTCTACAAAATTGTAAAATTTTAGTAACAAAAAAAATTGGATACATGATATATTGACCACTGTTTCCTTCAAATGTTTTGCTCTTTCTCTTCTGTCATTTATCTAGCTAACCAATTTCTGTTAAAAAAGAATAAATATTTATATTCATTTAATCAATAATTTCCCTTTTTGGTCTCTCTCTCTCTTTTCACTTCTCTATCAAGAATTTTAATGTATAAAAAATGTTAAACTCTTCCATTCTTATTTTTCAATCTTTCACTCATTATTTCTTGATATCCAGCCAATCAGCCAGTCTTCTTTTCATCTACATTCCAACTTAGAAACTCTCTCCTTAAATGTCTCTTTTCTTTTTTTTTTGTTTGTTTGTTCAATTTCCTTCTCTACACCTACTCATTCAGAAACCAAGCATATTGGCAAGTCCAATCAAATTGAGAAAAAAACTCTCTAATATTTGTAATAAAAAGATCTTTGCTAAAATCTATCACTTTGGGCTGAATCAATATTTTATTTCAAGAAATTGATATTTTAAAATGTATTGATCTTTTCTCACTACTCCCACCCTCATGCAGTCCATCCTCAGAAATTATGTCTTCAAATAAATTCCTTCCTTCTTGTTACTACTTTGGAAGAATCTTATTAAGCATAACTAATTAATTAGCTAATACTACTCCTACTTCTTCCCTTCCCTTATTCTACTTTAACTGACACAGCTACAATAAGTAGCAACATGGGCAACAAATTAACTGGTTCATGCAATGTATGATATATTGCAATGCAAGGCAAAGAAATGTTACAAGTTTTTCAGGTATACTCCAAATGCCAAAATTTATAAAATTTATTTTTTTGAAAATTGTTATTAAATATTCTTTAATCTTGAAAACTGTCATTCCAGGAAAAGACATGCAAAGAATTACTTACATAAAAGAAATATTTTAAAAATAAAATCCTAAAAATTGGTATGAATCTAAATAAAATGAAATTTTTAATGTTATAAGATAGAGTAACTCTTTGGCTTTAGTAATACTTTAATTACTTTTTCATGAAGTTTAATTTCTCACAAATTACAGTTTACTCATAAAAAAAAACCCGGTGAATTCAAAAATTAGAGGAGTCACTTTAACTGGCTCAGGTAAATTACTGTTATCACATGTTGATTCATATACAGGGTGTTTAAAAAAGTTTAATATCGTTTAAGATATGAATAACTGAGTAACTACATAGTCTAGGCAAATGAAACTAAACAGGCTTAATGTTGAGCAAAATAAAATTTATTCATCAAAATCTGAATGAGATATTCAAAAAGTATGTGGATTTCATGAATGATTTCACAAGTTTTCAATATGCAAACCACAGTGACATAGCAAACATTAAGTCAGTAGCCTAGCTCCTGCCAATCTTTGGTAGCAGTTTTCAGTGTGGAATTGATTCTTCAGTTCCTCTAGGCTTGTAGGAAGAAAAGAGACATTCTTGAAACTCATCTTCAAGTTTCTCTTGCATATTGATACAGAATTGCTTGCACTTTTGCTTGTCATCTGTTTTTAAAGCCTGAACCAGCAGCAGCTTGTAGGATGTCATTCACAAATGTTTCCTTGTGACATACCAAATTGTCATTGGAGCAATCTGGGTTTCAAGACTTGGTGCTTCATAAAAATGTTTACCAAACCCACTCAACTATCTTTTCCAATACTGGTTGTCATCCAGATCCTTTTTCCCTGCACAGACAGCTTTCCTCTTTGAATTTTTTGTGCCATGTCCAATTCTGCATTGCAGTTGGTGCATTTTTAGTGAATTCTCTCATAAATACATGCTGCACAGTTTTGTTCAACTGTGTTCAAGAATACTCCAATATACAAAAGACATTTTCTTTTCCTGCAAATGGCATTGCTATACTTGAAAAGAAGAAACATAAAACGTTAAACATAGAATTTTGAGTGGTTTCTACATATGATGTTAAAATTTTATATCATAATTTTATTATGAATGAAAATTGATCAAGTTATTACGAAATGATATCAAATTTTCTGAAACACTCTATATATGCCAAAGTCATCCTTTTAGATAAGAAAAAATGCACAGTAAATTATAAGCTAGTTTAGACATACTTTATACATTTTTACAGTTATTACACTGTTTAGGCACTAAATTTTGATTTGTAGCCATTTTTCTGGTGTTTTGATTAGGAGTATTCATCTGCAAATTAACCTAATCAATCACTTACTGCACCCTCTAAATTATTGACATAATATTCAATTTATTAATAATACTTACCTATCTTCAAATTGCATATTGAGCATGTGAGTAAGGAAGTTTAGAGATTAATTAAAAATGGCAATATAAATACTGTTTGTTCAGTCATTTGAGAATGATTGTCTAACATGCCATTTGAAAAGTAATAGCCAAAGAAACATTGCAAATGAGAATATTAGTTTGAATAAATTAATAAATAGGGCATTTCATCAAAATCCTAAATGTTTTTCATTTATTTTCATTATATGGTTAAATATACATCTGTAAATGTCATTTGTATTGAAAATATATAAGTAATAAAATTATGCAAATAGAGAAAGTAAGAAAGTGGCTGGCCCGTTTTACTTGTTTTGTTCTGTATACTTGTTTATAACATTAAGTGTTTTTTTTTTTTAATTAAAAATAAGTTCTTTAATATCACCAAAGTTATATGCCTTTATCTTTGTGCTAATATACTCATTATGGTTGTCATACTCATAGTGTTTTCAGCCACTGTA